CTCACAGCACACAAACCACAGCGTCTGTGGGGGTCCGGCTGTGAGACTCCAGTATGCACAGATGTGGGTGCGCACAGGCGGTCCGAAAACCAACCCCCACGTTCTCTGAGGGATGACTGCATATTATTTATTATATCTATTTTATTTGTGTTGTATACCTCAACGGGGAGACAGAACATCTGATGAATCAGATGTATAAAGAACTACAGTTCTTATTTCACTTGGAAACAGCCTTGAATGACAGTTTCTCCTAAATCATTTCAGGCACATGTACAAATATATAGAAAAGTGATCTGTCCATTCTAAAGGTTTATCTAGCTCCTTTATAATTTTTATACAGGTTTTATTTCTGTATTACATTAAGCACCATATAATGTATGTAGAAATACTTGCAGGTTGTAAGGCATTGTAAAAATGCTTATCACTATCACTGTCATCACTGTCATCATCACCATCACCATCATCCTTACCCGCTGGTCCTCCTTTATGGGAATCTGTGAGGACTCACAACCCCGGAGCCTCCAAAACAGAGGACCTCAAAACCAGGCATCCAAGAAGACTGACGATGCTTGAACACAGGTTCAGCACTTCACTGAGCCCCTTGGTATTGAATCAAATCACTGTCTCTCTGAAGAAAGAATATACAGCTTTCAGCAGATTCTCAAAGTTTCTGTGATGCTAAAACCATTAGGAACCACTGTGTTGGAGGCCTACAGTTAGGTGTCCAGCGTGGCAGAAAGGAAGCTTCACTCAACCTTCACAACTACAATTACTGTATGTTACAATCTATTTGCTCACAGAACAAATGAGGGCTACTGACTGCTCTATCAGCCACTGTGCTTAGAAGAGGGCGGAAAGATGATTACACTCGACTCTGTCCTTGAGTTCACGGAGACAGATTTAAGTCACACACAGGCTGCACACTGAGTCACACGCTACAACAGAGGAACACATAGAAAGTGCCCCTGCAGCAAAGAGAAGCAAAGGCTCCCTGGCTGTAAGGAAAGGTTTCCCAGGAGACCCCAGGACGGTTTACTAGGCCAGCCTAACCATTATGCACTGAGTGCCTGTTACATAAATCAAGCACTGGAAGACTTCGGATGCACCCACAAAGAGCTGACAATCTAGAGGAAAAGCGCATGTAAATCAACAATTATACTAGAGTAATACTGCAGGAATATTGTTAAGTACATAAAAGATAAGAAATAGCTCCATGTAATGAAGAGGGCTGTCAAGAAAGCTTTATCAAGCAGAGTTATGAGATAATATGAGCTGACCACTGTGTGCCCAAAGGCAGGGAGACGGAAAACGGTGAGGCACAGAGGGGTAGACGGCTGCACAGGGCAGGGGCTGAGGCACCAGGGCTGCGCAGGAGCCGAGGGATGCACAGGTGGTGTTAACTGCGAGAGCACGGAGGCCTGTTAGGGGAACGTGGCTCCACCGAGGAGAAACTGGACCCTGTGCCACGGGAGACAGTGAAACGGGTTAAGGAAGAGTCTGTAACAGGTGGGACACCTCGGCTCAAGAATCCTGTCTGAATTATCAGAATGCCTTCTAATGCATCACACCGTAAACTACAGCAACTTGCACTGCACTACTGTATTTAAAAAAGGCAACAGAATATTTCAAACTTCAATGGCGAGGTCGATGTGCATCATAATTTCCATCACTTGTCGTGTTTCTCTAATTTAGCACAGACAGAACTACATGCGCAGAGTGTAACACCACCTAATGTTACTCACTAATTATTGCCACAATCTAATGAGAGTCTATGGAAAGAGCATAAAATAGGGCCTGTACAGGGCAAGTACTCACCAAACATTAACTATAATTACATGCTGATGATGATTAAGAAGAAAAAGCTTACCGGTGATAAGAATATGGTTAAATTATCACCAACTAGAAAGAAGTCTTTAGAAACTACGTAAATAGCTGAGTAACTTGTATTTAAAAAAAAAAAAAAAAAAAGCCAATTGGTTTAAAACTAGAAAGACTGTATTAGTAGACTCTCTCCAACATGAAATGAGTAAAACAGTCTAAAGAATCCCATTCAACAGGTTGAACCACTTGGAGGCCTAGCAATGGACCGGGTTCAATGTGATATCAGATATTCGAAGGAGATACGGTTTTGTTGAACTGGCAAGGCAAGTTAATTGATAAGACTGGCCCTTGAAGTATGTATGTGAATAGTTGCCTAGACTTATTATCACTGCTGTGAACCTGGAGAACTGCCAATTCAACAAGTACAGGCATGTGCCCTCGAACGGCAATCTTTCCAAGTCCATTTATTCCCAGTAACAAAGATATAAAAGATTGTGCTTTGTGGCACTACGTCTTGTACGGTGACCATGCACTACTTATAAGCAGCACGGTCTGCTGTTTAAAAAAAAAAAAAAAGCCAGAAAGGTAACTGCAAAATAACACAGCGCACAAAACACACACTAATAGATAAAAACATGACAAATCCAGCCCTATGAACTAAAATAATCCAAAAAGTAAAAACAACGGGAACTAAATGGTTAGAAAATCTCCAACATTTCAACTGACACCTAAAGTTTAAAAACTTTTCAATTTTCATAGTTGTACAAAGTAGGTATATATGGAAAGAACAGACCAGGTATTAAGTGAACATTAAACCTGTATACACACAGGTCATTCAACAAATTACAAACACCTAATCCTTAAACATCCTTAGAACACCAAACAGTTCCCTGGCGAGGGGGACACTGAGTGAGCTTGCCCTGGCTTCCTCGCCCCGCACCACACGGCCAGGAGGACAGCTGCTGACGCCGAGGCACCAAGGAGGACAATGCAAGGGAAGGATGGCCCTCGTGTAACTCAATGCAGAGGGAGGTACAAATCAGGTTAGCTTTGGCTGCGCGGGCAGGAAACTGCCTTTGGACCCTAACCACCATCTTAAACGTGGCATCCACAGGAAAAGCCTCCCAACAATTAACGTCCTGTCCAGTTTGGACAGGTAGCATCTTTACCGATGAAATCATCCTTTCACAACTGCAAACACAAATACAACACTTGTCCGTCTCTTCAGTGGCCAATGACACAAGGGAAGCTAACTGCACTCACCTGGATTCACCCACGTCTTCGCTGGCATGATCATGACTTGCTGAATGCCACCGCCATGGAATTCAAACTCCTATCCTCCTAACTGTGCTACATAGCAATATGTCATGCGGAGTAAAAATGCTGGAAGATTCTTACATTCACGACTCCTTCAGGACCAAGCTTCGAATCTAGGATTCAAGTCTGCAACCTGGCCTAACCCAGCTTAGCACAGAAACCCACTTAACGAGTCACTTTTGAACAGGCTCCCTTACAGCATCTGTAGGTCGTTCTTGAAAGAGTGAGAGGAGGCCGGGCGCGGTGGCTCACACCTGTAATCCCAGCACTTTGGGAGGCCGAGGCAGCGGATCACGAGGTCAGGGGATCGAGACCATCCTGGCTAACATGGTGAAACCCCGTCTCTACTAAAAATACAAAAAATTAGCCGGGCGTGGTGGCGGCGCCTGTGGTCCCAGCTACTCAGGAGGCTGAGGCAGGAGAATGGCGTGAACCCGGGAGGTGGAGCTTGCAGTGAGCCGAGATCGCGCCACTGCACTCCAGCCTGGGGACAGAGCGAGACTCCGTCTCAAAAAAAAAAAAAAAAAAAAAAAAGTGAAAAAAAAAAAGAGTGAGAGGAGTAAAATGTGGTCTGGCACTTAGCATCCAAGAAGTCTTGGGCAAGTTACTTAACCTCTCGTACACGTTTCGTCCTGTAACGTAGGGGTGACAGAGTCCACCTGGTGGTTGTGAGAATTAAATGGACTGGCACACACAGAATGCCGGGCACGGTACCCGGCTCTGACACTGTCGTGGTTTTTACTACACGGATGTTCACCACCAGTGTCATTACCACGGACAGCGTGAGGACAAAGCGGGCCTGGGTGACATAAGCTGTTTCCACCCCACACCTCCGGGTCCTGGGCCCTGCACGCTGCTGAGAATTACATCACAGCGCTGCACAGCGTCACTGCGCGCTACCCCACAGCACGGGAATTACATCACAGCGCTGCACAGCGTCACTGCGCGCCACCCCACAGCACGGGAATTACATCACAGCGCTGCACAGCGTCACTGCGCGCCACTCCACAGCACGGGAATTACATCACAGCGCTGCACAGCGTCACTGCGCGCCACCCCACAGCACGGGAATTACATCACAGCGCTGCACAGCGTCACTGCGCGCTACCCCACAGCACGGGAATTACATCACAGCGCTGCACAGCGTCACTGCGCGCTACCCCACAGCACGGGAATTACATCACAGCGCTGCACAGCGTCACTGCGCGCTACCCCACAGCACGGGAATTACATCACAGCGCTGCACAGCGTCACTGCGCGCTACCCCACAGCACGGGAATTACATCACAGCGCTGCACAGCGTCGCTGCGCGCTACCCCACAGCACGGGAATTACATCACAGCGCTGCACAGCGTCGCTGCGCGCTACTCCACAGCCGGAATTACATCACAGCCGCACGCGTCGCGCCGCTACTCCACAGCACGGAATTACATCACAGCGCTGCACAGCGTCGCTGCGCGCTACTCCACAGCACGGGAATTACATCACAGCGCTGCACAGCGTCGCTGCGCGCTACTCCACAGCACGGGAATTACATCACAGCGCTGCACAGCGTCGCTGCGCGCTACTCCACAGCACGGGAATTACATCACAGCGCTGCACAGCGTCGCTGCGCGCTACTCCACAGCACGGGAATTACATCACAGCGCTGCACAGCGTCGCTGCGCGCTACTCCACAGCACGGGACGGCCCTGAATCACGGTGCCCGAGTTCCCCATCCCAGAGCCTTTCCAGACCAGACTTCTTCAGTCAGTAAAGCATCAACGTGTTAAATGTACAAATAACTAAAGAAAAGCTGAGTCCCTGTTTTGTTTAGTAAGAAAGTGGAACTTCCTTAGGATTTCAACTAGATCCTATTTTCACCTTTCATCTTCCTGCTTCAAAGAAGGACCCTTCCCCTGGTAGAAATTATCACCATGCCCTGCTCGACTCAGAATCACAGACACACAAAAGATTTGTATCCCAGAACACAGCAACAGCACACTGTGGTAACATCATTTCTGCCAAAACGCAACTTCCGGTCTCCCTGTGGCTGGGAAATCAGTTTCTTTTCTCTTAAGCTTTGCTCGGAGGGGAACAAAAAGAGCGAAGAGGACAGCAGCTGCGGCCACTTCAGGGAGGAGCCGGCAACACAAAAGCCCTTTCACCAGCACATTTTTTAACTCCCTGCCGGGCCTCCCACCAGTCTCTAATCAAGTTCCTGCTGCCAGGAATTCTAGCCCCAGCTCCCACAGTGGCATCGGGTCCCACCACAGCAGGCCAGGCTACCAGCAGCCGCCCAGCTCCCAGCCACCTGCAGACCCTTTAGTAAGGATCGAGGCCCAGCAGCCTCCTCCACATTCCATCTCCTGTCACAGGAGGACACGCAGCAGGAGCAGGGTTCCTAGGATGTGTGTCAAATATCCTACTTTATATTAGGAAAAGGGCTTCTAACTTGAATGAATAATAAATAGCTGAAATATGCAGAGTTCTGCAGAACCAGAAAGAAGCTCCAGAAACATTTTCCCTGATGGAGGTCAACAATCAGGTAAGCCTGGGCCGGAATTCCCTTACGTTTCCACCGTAGAAATACACTCGCCTTGTGTGCACCTAACTGGGGAAGCCAGGAGCCGACCTCCACACAGGTGACACAGGGACGAGGCCGGGAGCCGACCTCCACACAGGTGACACAGGGACGAGTCCGGGAGCCAACCTCCACACAGGTGACACAGGGACGAGGCCGGGAGCCGACCTCCACACAGGTGACACAGGGACGAGTCCGGGAGCCGACCTCCACACAGGTGACACAGGGACGAGTCCGGGAGCCGACCTCCACACAGGTGACACAGGGACGAGTCCGGGCGCCGACCTCCACACAGGTGACACAGGGACGAGTCCGGGAGCCGACCTCCACACAGGTGACACAGGGACGAGGCCGGGCGCCGACCTCCACACAGGTGACACAGGGACGAGGCCGGGAGCCGACCTCCACACAGGTGACACAGGGACGAGGCCGGGAGCCGACCTCCACACAGGTGACACAGGGACGAGGCCGGGAGCCGACCTCCACACAGGTGACACAGGGACGAGGCCGGGAGCCGACCTCCACACAGGGGACACAGGGATGGTGCTCCAACACCCTCCATCATGTGTATACAGCCATTTTCTCTTAAGAAAAATGTCCTCGTTTCCCCTCCCGTATTTCATGAATGCTGACTTATCCTGTGCCAACGGCTACACTTCCATATTAACTCATTCCCAGTCTTTTCATCAAAATGTAAATTTCAATCCTGAAACCAGGACCGGGATGCTAAAAGTAACACAGCAGTAATATGTTTAGAAATCTGCTCTTATCTTAATGAAAAACATGGTCTTCCCACATAAGTAGAGTCAGAAGGGGACACACTCGTCCTGGCTGCTTTGTACACTAACAGCCAAAAACAGAACCAAACTACTCTAGACTGAAGGTCAAATTCATTCCAGGGCATCCTGCACGCAATACACACATCAGGGAACAGACCTCAACTCAACACTGCTTCAACACCAACTTCTATTTGCAATTTCTACAAAATCTTCTGGCCAGGCATTTTTCTAGACATTACCTTAGTTTTAAAAATTAACAAAAAGCTGCAGCATTTTACTGGTGCTCAAGCAATAATTAACTTAGTAAGTACCCATCAGTTAAGAACACTAAGCCGAATTTATTCCACACACTCACAGGAGCGATGCTCCAGATTCTGTTCTGCTTACATTACAGGAAAACCTGTTGAAGCTTACAACAAAGCAACAGAGAATGGATCTGAAGTAGAAGAGGGGGTTGGATGCTGAGAAGCACGCCGGGCAAACCAGTCCCTGAATGTGAGATTCCACGGGCTTCCAAGATCTTTACTCCACTAAACATCTTCGTTAAATCTACTCTATAATCCTCACTGCAGGCCTTACGGACAGCAATCTGAGGTGGCGAATCTTAATTAGAGCTCTGGAGACCGGCTCTCTAACAAGACCGACTTTCCAAATAATTTTTCACATGGCACGCTCCCCCTCCAAACCGCACATGGAAGGGCAGTCACGTGGCATGGATCTGTCAGAACAGTTCACCAACGTCCAGAGGCCTCTCCAGGAAGGGCAGATGACACCACAAGCCCTGCGGGAGTCTGCGCCCGCCATCCCCACTCTGCCATTATGCCTTCTCTCGCTGCAAAGCCATTTGCAAAACATGTACAAAACACAGAGCTAACAGGAAGGTCCGTTTGGTAACAGATTTCTAGGTAGTCCATAGAATTTCTACTTCTACAAAAACAGAAAACCACCTTTCAGAAGAGGTTTCCAATTTAAGCGGATTTAAAGAGAAGAAAAGGAAAGATGTTAAAATAGAACTTCATTCAGCTTGCTGGATAGGTTCTCTGTTCTGTGAGAAGTACATAAATGATACACATATTTGACCAGGTTGAAATAGGTAAAACATGACAAAAATTTGGTTATAATTCTCAACCAACACTAGTAGCTTTAAGTTAAGACAAAGGCAAGAAGCGAACAGTTAAGTGGACAGGTTGTTGGTTCCCAGAGCCACAGCACTCCTGCACAGGCTCATATTAATTGGAGCAATATTAAATGCACCAACTAGGCAAAGCGAGACCCTGGCGGAAACGGGCGATGGGCAGCGTGTGAAGTTCCAGCAAGCACCAACCTGGCCTGGGCCGGGCACACGCCCGCGCACACCGAGCTGTAGTGCCGTCTCTGACGGCCCCCACAGTGGGTCCTCAACCGCCCCTCCACTTCTTCACCTGACATGCATCTTTCCACACTTCCGTCGTGCCCTAGAAATTAGTTAAGACACACTCCAAGTGAATAATGAGCATGCCTAATTTTAGCCAACAAAATATACTGATTTTTCCTAAAGGAGTTTCTACACTGTGATACCAATTGTCCTGCCAGGAATCTCTGATGAAATAACTTGGACTGATAATTCTTCTGCCAAAAAATGTATCTTGTAACGAATACAAGGTCCAATGTGTAAATATTATTCTAACACTTTTATTCATTTCCAAAAGCATATAAACATAAGTCTACTGTACACTACTTATTTTCTCTGTAAAGCAAGGACCACAGAATAAATGACCTGCAAATTTCCAGCTTCTCTCTCGCCTTTAAATCTCAGTATTTACACAAATGTGTAACAGTTTCTTATATACTTACCAACCCCACTGCCATAATCCCAACACCTGCCCGCCCTCCCACTAAATTACTACTGGAAAAGTCTGGCACTGCCCTTTCTGGAAAATGCCATAAATCTATTTTGGGACACCACCTCGTTTGGCTGGTGGTTTCCTTATTTTTTTTTTCTCGGTGGTAAAAATATCCCAATGTCTTAAATGTATAGGTGAAAAACACTAGCTTCCAAATGATTCCTTAAAAAGCAACAATAAAAATACTCCTCATTTGAAAGAAAAAACCCAAAAGCCAGTGTTCATCTAAAGTCATGAGGAGAATTTAAATTAAGGTTTTGGTTCCATTTTCTGTCTCAACTTTAACTTTTAACAGTTCTTTATAGGCTTTTGAAACCTACTTTGGAGAAGAAAAAAAAGTAGAAACAACTGTTCTTCAAAAATTTTACAAAAACAGTTTGATTTAGCATCAGTTATTAAATTTGGGGTATTTTCCTATGTTGAAACTGTATCTGAAAATTCTAACTTATATTTGACAGATAAAATGATAAAAAAGACATTTTACTCTTCAGAGGATTATCAAATGCTGTTGATTATGCTATTTTCTCTTGAAATAAACTAATTATGGGTATTTTAGATAGTGATATATATAGTCTGTAGACTTAATACACAGGCCATATGCTAGTGGCATATAACCAATAGAAAAAGAATTCCTTGCATTAATAGAAGCACAAAAATATATTACAACTTCCAAAATAACTTTTTTTTTTTTTGAGACAGAGTCTGGCTCTGATGCCCAGGCTGAAGTGCAGTGGCACAATCACAGTTCACTCCAGCCTCGACCTCCTGGACTCAAGTCATCCTCCCACCTCAGCCTCCCAAGTAGCTGGGACTAAAGGTGTACCACCAGCCCAGCTTTTTTGTTTTTTTTCTTTTGGTAGAAATGAGGTTTTGCTGTTACCCAGGCTGGTCTTGAACTCCTGGCCTCAGGCAGTCCTCCCACCTGCGCTTCCCAAAGTGCTGTGATTACAGGCGTGAGCCATCGCACCCAGCCCAAAATAATGGATTTCTAAACAGTAGCTACATTTTTCATGTGCTACACACCTATTACATGTGGGCATGGATCCCAGGGTGGGTGTTGACTGAAGACTTTTTTGGGTTTTTTTGTGTGTGGTATTACTGAATATATAAAGTTTAAAGGTAATTTTTAAAAGGTCCCTTTTAAAACGCACAGATTTATAAAGTATACATGGATGAGATTAGTAAACAAATTGAGCCTCCCACCTATTGCTGATGAGTGCTTTGATCACCCCTTTTCTATTTCCACTATCATTCTCAGAGGGCAGGACATGAAAAGCCAACACACGCATTCATTTACTCATGTAGTCTTTTAACACTGATTGAACAGCTTTTATGTGCCAGGCGCTTTTTGCTAGGTGCTAAAGATAGACGATGCAGGGGCTAAAAGCCTGCCCTGAAAGGCTCACACTCCATCAGGACATATTGACACATAACTACAATATCTGTGTAGCAAGACCGAGGTATGTACAAAGTGCAGCACAGGCACTTCCTAGCTTGAACTGCTGCCTTGGAGGTCCTGGTTTCAGAATTACAACAAAGCACTGCTACCATGAATAAACCTACCACACGCCAGGAGTTTTCCCGAGTTATTTCACTCTACCCTCACTTAAACCTTCTAGTAATTCTAAGTGTCCCCATATAGGAGAGGAAAAAGTTAGTTCTAAGAAGTAATTTGCTTGGCCAAGATCACCAATTATCAACTAGAAGAGCCAGGATTCCAAGCCAGGTCTTTTCAGTTCAACACGCCACTATCCTGCCTCTGCCTCTCAACCAAAATCTAGACGAGGTACTAAGTGAAGACCACATTAGAGAAGTTTTGGCACATAATCTCTGCATGCACTGGATAACTCTGCAGGTGCACAGCAACCTCGGAACGGCATGCCAGATGATAGTAACAGTTTTTCTAAGTATGAGCCTGCAAATACACTGACTGAAAAACATTGGAAAGGCTTCTCAAAGTTAGAAAAAAACCATAATGATGCTTTTGACAATAGAGTACAAATTTGGAGATCAGTATCAGTGGGAACAATTTCAACATATTCCTGGTCTTTTACTCACTTTACGCCACTTAAATCATTCAGGCCCTTTTGTTTCCATCTTCATGGCTTACGACGAATAAACACACCTACATACAGCGGCCGGGCCAAAACAATATTCACATGCACATCTACACCGAGCCCAAAGAGCAACCGGGAATTGTGAAGAAGCTGTCACAGGGCAGATGGTTAAAGAAAAAAAAAAACATGGAAGAGGGTATCAAATGAAAGCAATGAAAACATATTTACCTGTCTCTTCACCTATTTTGAAAACGCCAACGCCAGAACCATCTCTAATGGAGTATCGGATCTCCCCATCTCTTCCGGCGTCCTCATCATGAGCCGACACTGTCATTACCAACGAACCAACAGGCGTGTCTTCCTTCACCACCCCCCTTTCCACAAAGCTGGAAAACACCGGTGGGTGCAAGTTCTCATTCACATCAACCACCTCAACTTCAACATAGCAAGTAGAAGACAGAGAAACGGGCTTCCCCTTGTCTTTGGCCCTCACAGTGAGATTATACACTTGCTTCTTCTCAAAATCCAACTGCTGGACGATTCTAACTGCTCCACTGAGTTTATCCACATCAAAGTTTCCTTCTCCGTGGTCCATAAGGCTGTATCTCACTTGACCAGACTGAGCTAAATCAGGATCGTGGGCTTCTAACCACATGATGACGGTTCCTTCTGGAAGATCCTCTCGGACTTTCACACGATAATTAGGGGGAATAAATTTAGGGGGGTTGTCATTAACATCTTCTAGTGATACTTTCAAAACGACCGTGGAGAACAGCTGGGGCTCTTCTCTGGCTTGGTCCCTGGCTTCAATCTTTAAGTAGTGCTCATGCTGCAGTTCTCGATCCAGAGGGTGCATGATTTTAACAACACCAGTCGCGCTGTCAACTGAAAACTTATCTGTGTCTGTAAGAATTGAGTACGTCACGTGTCCATTGGGCCCTAGGTCTTTATCTGTGGCTTCAACCTGGATGATTTCACTATGTACCTCCTTGTCTTCACTCACTTCCACAAAATAGCTCTCCTGTAAAAACTCAGGTGGATTATCATTGGCATCGACAACCACAACGTCTAGAAGACGCCACGCAGCCTTCTGGGGTATCCCAAGGTCATAGACGGTAATATTCAGGGTGTACTTGTCCGTTGTTTCACGGTCAAGAGGAGATAAAATTTTCAGCATTCCTGTTTCCATGTCAATCATGAAGCAACTATCCTCATTTCCTCCAGAAATAGCATAGACCAGTTTTCCATTGAAGCCAGTGTCAAGGTCAGTGGAATTCATGAAAATTACACTGGAACCCACAGGCTGGTTTTCCTTTACTTGAATACCAGTCGGAAGAGTGCTTCTAAACTGTGGTATGTGAGCGTTGACAGAGTGAGAATCAAAGAAAATATCCTCCACGTCTCCCTGGTTGTGTAATTTATTTGCCTGCAGGAGTTTCTCTGCCAGCATTTTGGCAACACCAGTCTCTTCACAGTGCAAGTTTACCAGCTTGCGACTGGCAGCCACTGTGATGTTGATATATAACGGCGTGGCAAAATTTTCTCCATCTGTAGCTGTGATTCTCAGACTGTGAAAAGACACCTTTGCACCTAAGCCATCCATTAGCGATTGCTTCAATGACAATACCCCAGAGTGGGGGTTTAAACTAAACAAATCCAGTTCATTTCCAGCTTCAATCTGATACTGTACCAGCTGAAGTTCATCTGCATCAATAGCAGAAACAGTAGTTATTTGCTCTCCCACGCCTAGATCTCGGGGAATTGTCCCTTCACAATTTATTTTCTCAAACAAAGGTGTGTTGTCATTCAAGTTATTGAGAGTGATTGTAGCAAGGACTTCGGCCTCCCGGCGGTACGGCAACCCCCAGTCTGATGCACGAATCCTCAGAGTATAAACCCGAGGCATCAGTTCGTAGTCCAGGTTTTCTGACGTACTCACAGCACCAGTGAAATGGTCAATCACAAACGGCACATGATTTAAATTTGTGATACTGTATGTCACGTATCCATTCTCACCCTCGTCAGGGTCTACGGCACTCAGGCTCATGACAGTAGTACCGATGGGCACATTCTCATCAAAAGCGGCTTTGTATGCTGTCTGGGTAAATTCAGGGGGATTGCTATTTGCACCTAAGACTTTCACCAAGACCTTGGTGGAGGCTTTTCTGTCACTTGTTGTTACTTCGAGTTCAAAATGGGCTGCCTGCTGTTTTTTAACCGGTTCTAAAATAGAAATGAGGCCAGTGTTGTAATTTAAACTGAATTTAGCTTTTCCGGGTGTACTTTTAAAAACATACCTCAAATGGGAATAACCAGGAATGGCCTTTACCATGACCACAGGAGTGTTAGGAGGAGCAAATTCACTTATTTCTGCTCTGTAAACATCCTTTTCAAACTTGACTGGCCCGGCTTTGAACTGTGGAGAAGTCACGTGAATTACTTTAACAGAAGAGAACTGGGGCGGAGTTCCTTTATCTTTAGCCTGTAGTGTGAGATTGTAGCCGAAAGGATGACTGTCCCAATCAACGCCACTGATGGCTTTGACTTTATATTCCTTACTCCCTGGAAAGGACCTCACGGTTCTGAACTGCTGGAGAAGGTCGCCTGCCACGATGCTTAAAGACGCTATTTCACCATTGGCCCCCTGATCACAGTCATCCACTGTCACGATGGCGTATGTTGGGTCCCTGTCCAGCTCTGACGGTGACAACGTCACTGCTGTTATCACGGGAGCACATTCGTTGGCCTGTTCGATGTGCACCGTCAGCCTGGCCATGCTGCTGATGCCACTGCTCCCATACAATTTCATTCCACGGTCCACAGCGAGGATTTCCATCTCATACAGCTTGGTCTCTAGGTAATCAAGTCTACCAGTTAACACTATCACACCACTGGTTGGGTGAATAGCAAACATATCTGTTCGATCTTTAAAGCTGTAGTAAAATTCCCCATTGGTTCCTATGTCTGCGTCTGTGGCGCTGACTCTTGCAATACTGGTCCTTATGGCTGTGTTTTCAGGTAAAGAAACGCTGTATGAGGTGGGTGAGAATAACGGTCTCAAGTCATTTGTATCCAGCACCTGCACCCTGACCTTTGTTCGCGCCTCCATATTAGTATTTTTTTCAACTGCTTTCACTATCAATGTGTAGTGGTCTTTCACTTCTCTATTAAGAATAGCTGTATTTCCTCCTTTGGTCCTTATTCTTAGAAAGCAAAAGTCTCCGAGAACGTACTCTTCAGCTTTGAACAGGTTTTCACTGTCTCCGGAGACAATTTTGTACCTTACTTCCCACGATGGATGTGTCATGTAAATACCCATCTTGACAGGATGCCCCACGTAAGTCTTAGCTGCAGAGTTCTCATGCACCGTGACATTGTACTGGAGATGTGTAAACTGTAGAGGAGTCTGTTCAAGTCTTTGGCTGCCATCACTGTCTCCAAAATGTTGGAGGATGAGGAGGAGGAGCAGAAGCAAGGCCGAATGTCTCCCCATTGCTTAACTCTCAGGAATCTGAAACAGAAGAAATCAGAATCGTTACCGTGGGGAATAAAACAAGCGAAAGTGTGTAATTGTTTTAAAACTCTCATTTAAACAAATATTTTCCATACACATGGAATATAAATAAATGCAACAGTTTGGGCTTTTTTTCATGTTTTCCAATATAAGTATCAATATTCTTATAACATGTGTAGAATTACTAAACTTAACAAAAACTTCCTCTTCATTTTTGAATGACAAGGTCCTATCTTTCATATTTAAACAACTCAAAAATCTTCATGAGTATCAAATGAAAGACTACTAACTGTAACAATCAAGTTATATTTTTATATTTAAAGGGTTAAGGCAAATATAAGCAACCATTAAAAAGTAATGAACATTGTTTACATTTACTTACATACAACGAATTAAATGATCAAAAGCTGGCAAACTTAATGCCCCTACAGTATTGTGAGAATGCAAAGCTTCTGACAACTAATTCAGAAAAAACAAAAGCCAGCAGTGCTTTTACATGGTGCCCCATAACAACAGCTTGTAATCTCCTTTCAAAATTTATCCTGAAATTATGTTATTTCTGTATAAGAATGGTTAAGTTCACTCCCTACATAATGTAAGGGTTTACTGTCTCATTCAGCTCTGTATAACTACTTAAAGGTATTAAAACAATTATATCATCAAGTCTGATACTTAACACCAACATAAGCCCCAAAGAAAGGCAATTTACAAAAGAAAAACCAGAATTCAGCAGTTTGATGTCAAGCAGCACTTTTCCTCTCTAAGTCAATGAAGCAAATCTTACCAACTATATCAACGTTTTATCACCACTGCTGTCAACATCCAGTTGTTCACCGAATGCCTCCTATCTTCAGGGCACCGAACAACCTGTCTCCCCAGGCCCCTCCATGAGAAGATGACACACACACATAAAAGCTAAATCTTCTAAGCTAACACACATAAAGGGTCAAATCGATGTATTAATACATGGTGGCAGACCCTGCAGGGGAGTCCCTGGGTGACTGGGGGAGGAAAGAGGGAAACTGAAGAAATGAAGAAAACGTTGCCTTTAACAAATGGCAAATGGGAAGGTGGGCGAAGTCCACTGGGCTGAGGTCTGGCCAGGGAAGCAGGACAGTTATTTTCAGATCAACTGTTCCCCTTTGCCAACAAATTCATCTTGTAAATCAATGCAGCTTCGCTAAACGCCCCAGCACGGCTGGTAGAGGACAGCACTGTGATCTTGCAAAGTTACTCTCAAATTAATATTCACAAAATGTGAATGCCACCAGAGGTAAACGAATAGCAAACTGGAGGGTGGGTTTGACAGCCCAGTTGAAATTGGTACAACAACATTTATAGTGTCTTAACTTAGCTACTGCCAACTCTGCCCCGTAAGTCCTTGTCTTAGGGGGAAGAAAAGACCTGATGTGCTTAAAGCAATTAAAGCTTAATTGATATTGAATCACGTTCAAGTTGGCCACCCTAACTTGTTCTTTCGCTATGATGCCTTCTCCTCTCCAGATAAAGTCAGAAATTAGACAGATTTTTGGCTTCCAGGAGAACAATTATCATTTAAACAAAATAAGAAAACAATTTTCTCCCAAAACTATCTCTTTAAGTATCTCCATTTAGTCAACAGTTCTAATACTCGGGGAAATCTGAATATTATAAAATAATCTTGTAATTTTATCAAAACAAATGAAAAGTTCAATTCAACCTACAGGTATGGAGGACCTTCTTAGACAGAACCTTGTATGGTGTTAAAGAATAAAAGACAAAGATCCTAATCCCGAGGGATTTACAAACTAGAAATAAAAATACATATAAAGAGGCCGGGCGCGGTGGCTCACACCTGTAATCCCAGCACTTTGGGAGGCCGAGGCAGGCGCATCCCTTGAGCTCAGGAAGTTCAAGATCAGCCTGGCCAACATGGTGAAACCCTGTCTCTACTAAAAATACAAAAATTAGCAGGATGTGGTGGTGCATGCCTGTAATCTCAGCTACTCCAGAGGCCGAGGCAACAGAATCACTCGAACCCAGGAGGCAGAGGCTGCAGTGAGCCAAGATCGCGCCATTGCACTCCAGGCTGGGCAACAGAGCTAAACTCTGTCTCAAAAACAAAAAAACAAAACCAAAACACTTGGATGATGTTTAGCAAGCAGTGTCTTTTGTTTCAGGAGACACATTATATTTTAGGAGATATTTTTACCATCATCCACTGTACAACAAAGTATTATACTAGGATTCTATTGCAAGTACTTGAAGTATTTTTGCTTAATTCCACATACAAAGTTATCATGCAGCCATTAAAAAGGTAAGATAGCACTCTGTATGTTGACATATGTCTAGCTATATTAACTGGAAAAACTAAGCTGATCCTATGTATGTTTGTTTAAAAAAGAGGAGAAGGGGGCGCAGATAAAACGTACCCACGGATAGTTTAAAATGGACAGAAAAGTCGAGGCAGACAAGCAGCTGTTCACAGCGGTAACTTCTAGAGAACCGGCAGAGAAACAGGCAGCTGAGGAAGTGATTACAGCGGCATTTGTCTCTCCCATGGACTTTTTAGCACGAGTATGTGTTATCTTTACCATCCATTCACCCCTTCCATTAATTATTTAATTCCTTTTACACAGGTTTAATGAGCGCATACTAGGCCTCAGGTGAGCTCTAGATGCTGGGGATTCAAACGTGAACCAAATTTCCAACAAGTCCTGACGGAACACACATTTCCTGGCCAGAGACAGACAGACAGACAAGTAAACAGAGTATATCCGATGCCCATAAGTAAGTGCTAAGGAGAAAACTAAAGCAGGGCAAAGAAAAACCACGGTCCGGAACCTGAAGGAAAAGAGGGAACCCTAAATCCAAAGGGCCAGGGCTTACGCTAGTGACATGCTGGGCAACTCTTAGATTCTTTGGAGCAATGGAGAGTGTTCAATATTATTCCCAGTCCCCACCAGTTAGAAGCCTGTGGCATCTCCCTCATCACCCAGCTGTGATGACTAAAAATACCTCTATCTCAAGACATTGTCAAACATCCTCCAGGGCAGAAAGTCACACCAGCAGAGAAGCACTAGATGAGGGAAGCAAGAAAGGGACCACGCAGCTGGGGCACAGCGACTGAAGGACAGCAGTAAGGCCGGGGCACATGCTGGGAGAGAACCTATCATGAAAGGGGGCTTTTTTTTTTTTTTTTTAATAAACCTTATTTTAGAATGCTTTCAGATTCACAGAAAAGTTGCAAAGAGAGCTTCCCCTACTGTTGACATCTCGCATGAGTACATTATACTACATACAACTAATGAACCAGTACCGATACATCATCATTAACTGCAGTCCGTACTTCACTCAGATTTGCTCAGATTTCACCCAAGACCTTCTCTCCATCCCAGAATCCCTTCCAAGACTCCACCTTACATTTAGCTGTCATGTCTCCTAAGGCTCCTCTGGAAGGTACGTTTCTCAGATTTTCCTTGCTTTTAATGATCTGGACAGTTTCGAGAAGTACTAGTCAGGTATTTTGTAGGATGTCCCTCAACTGGAATCTGATGTTTTGCTCATTCGACTGGGGTTAGGTTTTGGGGAGGAAAGCCACAGACGTAGATTGCCATTTCCATCACACCGTAGCAAGGGGTAAAATCAACCCGATGTGTCAGTGTTGATGCTGCCCCCGACCACGTGACTGAGGTAGCGTCCGCCAGGTTCTTCAGTCAGGTTACTTTCACCCCTTCCTGTACTGTATGATTTGTAAGGTCACCACACGCAGCCCACGCTTAAGAGGTGGAGAGTTTTGCTACCCGAAATATGTAGAATTCTTCTATGAAACTGATTTGTCTATCTTCCCCTATTTATTTATTCAATTTTTTTTTCTTTTTCAGGGTCTGGCTCTCTCACCCAGGCTGGGGCGCAGTGGCACGATCTCGGCTCACTGAAGCCTTGAGCTTGTTGGGCCCAGTCTCAGTCTCCTGAGCAGCTGGGACTATACAGGTGTGCCTGTAGATTTAGACTGACAGAATTTTAGATACTCAGGGACTACCACCAAGCGTGGTATTTTTTGTAGAGACCGGGTTTCACCATGTTGGCTGGTCTCAAACACCCAGGCTCAAGCGATTTGCCCGACTCAGCCTCCCGAACTGCTAGGATTACAGATGTGAGCCACTGCACCCAGCCTGAATCTTTTTTTTTTTTCTTAAGATCAGTATGGGCCGAGCGTGGTGGCTCACACCTGTAATCCCAGCACTTCAGGAGGCCAAGACAGGCAGATGACGAGGTCAGGAGATCAAGACCATCCTGGCTAACACAGTGAAATCCCGTCTCTACTAAAAATACAAAAAATTAGCTGGGCATGGTGGCAGGCACCTGTAATCCCACTTACTTGGGAAGCTGAGGCAGGAGAACAGTGTGAACCCGGGAGGCACAGCTTGCAGTGAGCCGAGATCGCACCACTGCACTGAAGCCTGGGCCACAGAGCGAGACTCCGTCTCGATAAACAAAGATCAGTATGGACTCATGGATAAAGGACGATTTTCAGGACTTTAGAGTTTAGTATAAACAAAGTGAGAAGCCCCCCGGATGATTCTGAACAGAGGAGTGCCATGGTCTAAGTAAAACGGAAAAGCCTGCGAGGCAGCCAGCAGAAGCTGGAGGGCGACCGGAGCAGTCGGAGGCTGCGGCAACAACACAGGCAGAGGGCTTGCGGGTCAGGGCACAACGGGGGCAGGGGCAGACTCTGAATCTATTTCAGGGTTTCCTGATGCACTGGAATGGAGAGAGGAAGGGAAAGGAGGAGTCAGCAGTACCACAGAGGATGCCAAAGTGCTGAGCGTAGAGAACAAGTGGGCCAGGAACCAAGAGGGAGACAGGAGGAGCAGAATTCTTGGGGAACAGATTGGGGGGTCAGTTTTGGACAGGGTAAGATGGGAACGGCCACTGGCTATCCAAGTAAAGAATGTGAGTGGGCCGGGCGCGGTAGCTCACACTTACAATCCCAGCACTTTAGGAGGCCCAGGCAG